GGGTGTACGGTTCAAGGTTCAGGGTTCAGGGTTTAGGGGTTAGGGTCAAGGGTTTGGGATTTAGGGTTCAGGGTCTAGGGTTTAGGGTCTAGGGTTTAGGGTTCTGGGTTAAGGGTTTAGGGTTCAGGGTCTAGGGTTTAGGGTTTAGGGTTTAGGGTTTGGGATTTGGGGTTTGGGGTTTGGGGTTCAACCAGGCAACGTGAGACTCTGCATCTACCTCGCCTCTGCGAAGTCACCAGCCTGGCCCTTGCCCAGCATCTAGCTTTTGAGTAAATGGGGCTTTTGGGCTTTAGGACTTTGGGGCTTTAGGGCTTTAGGACTTTAGGGCTTTAGGGCTTTAGGGCTTTAAGGTTTAGGGTGCTTAAGCCTCTATAATTCTACTAGCTAGTGAGTCAACGGGACTTTAGGACTTTAGGGCTTTAGGGCTTTAGGGCTTAGGGTGCCTAAGCCTCTATAATTCTATACCACCCTTATAGACTCGATCCTTCCGACTACCTCGACCCTGAAGAACCTACCTTTTTCCGGGCTCCCCATTATGATTTCTTTACAAAAGTGTTTGAAACGGTAGGTTATTTGGGGATTTTGATTTCTTTATATAAGTCCTCAAAAAGGTAGGTTATTTGGGGTTAAGGTACGTCTAGCACAAGACCAGCCCCAGCCTTCTCTGGAGGAATGCCGCGCACAGAGACGCAGTAGACCCTGGCGAAGACTCTGCTCTGAGGAATGCAACCTAATGTAAGAACCTGATTAAGAATCCATGGATTGATATTAGGGTTCTTAATATGAATCCTAATAAAATGGGGTTCTAGGGGCAGGGTTTCTTCATCAGGTTGCCCTAAACCCTAAACCCTAAACCATAGCCGAACTTGCCGCTGCAGGTCTGCGTGAGCTGAAACGCTCGTCTCTCACGTGCAAAGGAGCTGTTCCTAGAGGCCCAATACGGCTTACTGATTGAAGAATATTCCACTTATCAAAATAATTCTGGAGCCAGGAAAATTTTGAAAATGTTATGGAGTGGAGGTCTACTTAACAAAAAGATGCACCAAAAACTGTAGATAAACCCCAAACACTAGAGTCAACACCTAAACCCAAAGCCCCAAACCGTAAACCGTAAAACCCAAAACCCCCAAATGTTCGAGTACCCTCATGCATCCCTTCTGGGAACCCTGCAAGGAATCTGTCAAAAGATACTGTCTTTAAAGCTTGACTCCCGGGATCCCGCATCTCTCCCAAAAGCAGCGTGAACCCTTATAATTTAAGGTATACTTCCTTAATTCCCTTATAGAACCCTTCTAGAGACCCTTTTATATCCCTTTTAAGGAACCCTATCATTCAAAATATCTATTCTAAACCGCGCTGGGTGCCCAACAAGGCATGGAGCGCTACGTCTTCCACGCC